GCATGCCATCGCCAGAAAGGAATCTGAAGAAGTTCGGCGGAGCCATCTCAGAGGTGCCCAACGGGACGGGGCGGAGCCATATCAGACGTCAGAAATCATCTGAAGATTACCCCCGGTTCTCACACGATTGAAGTGAACTAATATAAAAAATATATGGAAGTGAAGGTTACGTTTCTCCAGAAGGTAGACTATTGGTGAACTCACAAGTTTGGGTGTTTTCTTTCACTTTGATGGTGGAGGTAGACAGCTGCCAGGAGTGGTTGAACTCCTTTCATGAGCTCCTCTTCAATCAATTTAAGTGTCAAAAGATGGGTGCAGAGGCTCCCAACTTGGCACGATCTCAAGGCAAGGCAAGGCACGCTCAGGAAAACACTCCAGATATATACTACTCCCATATCAACTACGGATTTCCACCACCCTTGAACTAGTGTTGGTTCCATGCGCGTTGGTTTTTCTAGCCGTGGCTTTGAAACGGAGGAGCTGGATATGCATTGCCGGCTCCTAGGAGAGATGGAGGAGCCTCGGCGAGCGGAATGTTCGAAGGATCGGAGGAGCCAACTTCCACGAAGTCTCCGAGAAACACATCCCGGATGGGGCTCCAGTCGTAGCTTCGTTTCGAAGCTGTTCGAGGTGGGTGGTTTGGAGGCTCCAGTCATACCGGAGGAGGTACGACTGGAGGGCTCCGGCATCACATGGAAGTGGAAAAGATCATGGTCCGTAAAGGAAAGTCGTCTTCCCAAAATCCATGCCATCCACTTCCTTGCGTGTCCCAACACAGCTTTGTGATCTCCAAATATTAGATCGATGCTGGAGTGCACTTGGGATTTGGGTGGGATCTATGAAAATTCGATCGTTATTTATCTATCTACTCCAAACTTTGAACATGAAACTCGGAAATCAATTTGATTTGTGGAAGAGCAATTCATTTCCAACATCTTTGAAAGATGTTTCTTGATGATATATTGCCACCATCTTCAGGTTCCATACAGCTCGTTCTTTTCAGCCGTTGGAAGGATCAGACCGACAACTCGCGAGGGCGCATGAAGCAACAGCAGGCCTGACTCAGGGCTGGCGAGAAAAGAATTGGTAAATAGAGGGATTCTGCATGTCAATTCTATCTATCTCAGCATGTGTTATTCTTTTTCTGGCGCTTGGAAGAGCCGTCTGGCGCTGTCGTTTGGTTCGTCCGCATTTCGTTCCATTGCTTGATGCCTAGAGCAGCGGTCGTGCGCCAGACTACAACCAGACAACTACTGCAAGCGGTCTGCCAGACGACTAAAACCGTTTTGGGTGTTCTCAAACTCTGAGGCGGCACCGTAAGTATCGCACTTGGGAGAGCGAAAAGACCCTGGGCTGGCTGCCAGGTTTGTTGAGTTCGAGTCCCTTCAGAGAAAAAACTCATGTTAGATTAATTTAGATTATGATAGATGGATCGATCTCAGAGGATCGGTCAAAGACGAATGGCGAAGAAGCAAAAGCAACAAGTGCGAAGGGCAGGGGTTTGTGTTCTGCATTCATCTTTATTTCCATTGTCCGATCTTGAGAGAAGAACTGAAGCTGTTCGGAATTCGGTGGTTTCGCAGCAGTCGGGTTTGCAAATCCCTAAGAATTCCGAGTTCAAGTAGCTTTTCTACTCCTAAGGTGGGGATCTTTAGACTGAGTCTCGAGATGGATGTCCATACCTAAGAATTCCTATAAGAACCAAGAGCAAACTGTATATGTCTTCGGGGGGGGGGGCACACCTCACCACTGCACTCCCAGCCCGCCATTTTTGAGTGTTCACACCATGCTTGCCTAGAAACAGCTGGATGCGCTCAGTAGCGAGCCCACGATGTGTGCACTCTGGGCCGGGAAGCTCAGATGGACCACGGAGCGGCCGCTTGCGGAGCGACCACACGTGCCTGCCATTTGTGGAAAGGTTTGATAAATTTGATGATATTAAGTATATAGGTATTGATAATTAGTTATTGCATTTACTTATGAGTGCTCATTTCTGAATGATGGTGAATGCAGCAGACAAAAGTTGAGCCTTCATTTGCAATGGCGTTTACATTCTTGATTGCTGCCCCATCACTGCTCAGACCTGCATTTGGGTCATGGCCGTGGCAATCTTCGCTGCTCGGTGAAGGAAAGGTTCACCGCCCCGAGTGAACCCGTGGTCGACCTTTGCCTTTAGCCCGGTTTGTTGCAACTGGGGTCCTTTCGGGACGCTTGTGATATCGCAGAAGATTGATTCTTGTCTATTTTTCCTGAATTCGACTGGAGTGTGAGAGGAGAACTGTCACGGAAGAGAAAGAAAACGGGTTTGAGACATAAACCGATCAAGGACCCCCCACGAACCCCGCGCTCGCATTCTGCACGCAGAATCCCATGATCTGAGTCTGACCGGAACCGGAAAACCACTGCTAACAGCGGATCTGTGAATCCCAGCGATAGGATTTTCATGCGCTCCGGAGCGATCGGTTCGCTAGCTAGCTAGGGGCGGCCTCGACGAGTCGAACGAGTCCGAAGCGATCGGACGGGCACGACGTTCGTCGTAGGGCGGCGCGAGCTCCAGGTTCGCTACGACGACGAACGGAACGTTCGGTTCGCGAAGCGAGTCCGGAGCGTTCGGTTCGCTACGACAGGGATCCCAGGTCACGCTAACGATCGACTCGATCATCGATGACCACCGAGTGATGGAAGTGAGAACCCTGTGATCCTCGGAACGTTGGTGACGAGCCTCGGGTCTTCGGCGGTTTCGAACCGAACGAGAGGCAGGTCGCAGGTTTTTGGGAATGAAAAGAGATGGAATTCAGGCCCTGAATGGTGAGTGGATATAGATGATACGGATGATAGATAGATGATAGATTTTGCCAGGAATTCTGAAATTCAGATCTAAATGAGTGGATGAGCCTCCCAGGTTCCTTGCGGAGTTTGGAGACCTCATCCACTCTTGCCCACCGGCTCACGCTCGTTCACGTCGCGCGTTCGTTTTGTCCGTTCCGGGTCACGGGTCGGCGGACGCACGGGACGGGGGCGGATGCACTCGGCTGGAATGTGCCAGACACATGTTCTGTGTTGATTTTTGTCGAATTCGAATGGCTCTCTCTTGGTTATGCCGCCCCATGCGCCACGAGCAACTTGGGTATAGTACTTCGATGTTGTTTGACTCTGTGTTCTCCGCTTGGGGTGACATCCGCGTATCCCAGAACATGGAAATTGGCACAAAGATGAATCCGACCACAGACTCACGAAGGGTAGAAACTGAGCCGTGTGACCAGTCAATTGCCAGAGCGACCATTCAATCGCCAGCGCAAATCTTAGGATGCTGACTTGAGAGCAGTTTGCCCAGGTGTTGCTGGTCTTTTTCTGAGCCAAAGATGCTTACCAGAGGCCACAGAACGACCCAGGCAAGATCCGGGGAATTTCATCGGTTGGTTTTGGTGTTTTGGCCAACTCTGACTACACGAAGGATTTGTTTGCCATTTGCATGGGAGCTCAAAAGGCACAGTTGTGCCTCAAACGCGGCAGTGGGCAGTGGTGAGGATTGTGATGAGCCATGTCGGAATGTTGTTTCCCTGGGCGGCAAGAGATTCAGAGTGAATGATGCGGAAGGTGATGTTCAGAAGACGTGCTTTGGCCATAAGAGTTTGAGTGAGTTTGTGAGTTGAAGATGTATGATGTATGGGTTTAAGGATGGGCTTGAATCAGTTCTTAAGGGGTAACATGTGATAAAGGAAAACCACACCTTTTGAAAAACTCGGTGGCTGTAGATTTTGGACCCACACCTCTCCTAGTAGGTCCGTAGGTTTCTCAAGAATAGGGATGCTCGGATTCCAAGTGTCAACTTGTGTGCTCTCATGCCTAGCTGCCTAGCTTAGCCAACACCAGATCCATGGCAAGTTCAGACATGTGCCAGCAAAACATCACACACCAATATGCCAATATCAATGAGTCAATGAGTCAATGAGTGAATGACAGTATCAATGACATGTGCTCCATGTCATATGCTCCCAACGAAGACTGAAGGGTCATGTCTCCGGGTGGTGTCTCTCGACTTCCGAAGGACCGGCCTGGCCAGGCCAGATGCTGGGTCACGTGCTGTGCGCACGACACGAAAGAAGCCGCGGGGAGGGACGTCATGAGTCGACAGAAAACCGAAAGAACAAAGACATTCTGCAGATTCCAACATCAATCTGTGGAGGCTTGACCTTTTTTTTTTCCTGGTCTTTTCTTGACCTTCGAAGTGCCAAATCGGCCAGAAAACCTCTCAATTCAACCACTCGTTTTGGATTTGTCACTGCATCACTCAGCATGAAAGGTGAGCGGCATGCGAAAAAATTCCAGGCGAGGAGCTAGAGAAACATCGCTCCTTCTGGTGGCGGGCTCCTTTGGAATTCAACACTTCTGGTGATCAAGTGATTCCTATAGAAACTGTGCTTCATCGAGTTCAGTAGCTGTGGAGTTCATGAATTCCACAGCTACTTCGATCGCTTCTGAAACCATGGCCGTCCGAGGCGCATGAAACCGACACCGACACCAGGGCCGTTTTCCTCCGTCCAGGAGAAGGGAAACTGAAAGAAAAGGCCCTTTCGGCCCAGAGGAGGTTCTTCCTTTCAGAAGCTTTGCTGACAAAGCATGGCTGACTCTCCTCCTTAGCAGTGCTAGCAGTGCTTTCAGAAGTCTTGATATGCAGATGTCCTGCATTTTGACACCGCCTAGCAGCGACCGCAAGTGACATTGAAAGAATGTTATTTTGTTTCCAAGATCCTGCAAAGTGTGAGACTATCTCGTTCGGGCGGACTACTGTAGTACTTGCAAGACATCAACATCTCACTCCAAATCATGCCCATAATATTTGAGAGTATCGGCCAAACAGAATTCTCATGACATGTGAACACTTGACAAGTCACTTGACAGTATACAGACATATTTGGCTATAGTTGCACGTTTTCTAGGTTTCTTCTTCATGCCCAGCGCGCTTGCGGCGCTCCAGAATCCCTGGCCTGGGGGACTCCATGGAGTGCACGGTGGCCGCCCGCTTGGCATGCAGCGGCGAGCTGCTCACGGTCGTGGCCTGGGCCGTTTTGACACACTGCGGTCGGTGACGCGTGTGGCGCGTGGGGCCTGAGCGCCCGGTGGGGCGATGGCTTGGGCGCTTCGCATGGGGCGGGCGATGGAAGTCCGTCCAACGTTGGACTTGTAGACGTCTCGCAGTCGACGTGTTCGTCTGCTGATTGAACCTCAAATGATCTCCATTGGAGGGTCCATATATGTGACCTCCCATGATCCGTTAGGCCCGTTAGGCCATGTTAGGCCCACTCTTGTTCTTTTCTTGAGTTCAGAGTGTGAAAACAGTGAAATGCCTGGAGAGCTATTGGAATCGAGAGTGGCTCAGATATCTCTGACTTATAGGGTTTCTTGGGTGCTTGAGGAGATAGTGCTCGTTAACCTTTGATGTGCCATACATGAGTGGGTGCCGAAAAAATTACCCTTCGCTGAGCCTTCTTCGCTGTGTCAGACAGGAACGATGAGCATGAGTGGAACGTGTGGAACGTGTGTTGGAGATGGTTGCACCAAGATGACCTCGATATGTCAGACCAGTCATGTTGGATTTTCTTGAATCACCCAATTCTCAGATCAGAATTTCTTCATCGCCCATTGACTCTTTCTTCGCCCATTTGAATGATGACTCCAATCCTTAGATCACCCATTTGAAGGAGATTGAGTTACTTTTTCTGTTCCAAGGTTGACATGAACATGGATGAGACCGTTGCAAGCCTTCGGAATGCGATTGCAGAGGCGCCGGTCGACGACTGCATGGCACATTGCACGAGACGATCGATGATGACCTGGGATGGCTTCTTTGCAGAACAGAGATTCACAGGAAGCATGTTGAAAGATTGTACTAGTAGAAGACATGAGAGCTTTCGAGATTGTTCCAGTTTGATCCAACTTCTTTCCATCTCCAAGACTTATAGAGAAGCACAATCGGCCCTGCATTCGACTGTTCCTAGCAGGTCTAGGGTATTGCGTGAAGGTGTTTGCAAACACGTCCCTTTGCATTCTTGAAGCGATTCTTGAACCAGATCCTGTTGCACTGAAGATCTCATTGAACCCGAAACCCTCCAGTGAGCCACACATCTGTGAAGAAACATATCAAGACTCGCAGACGGCGCGGGAAAGCTGCTCCATGTGGCTCTTGGCTTCCGGGCGCTTGCTCTTGGATGGCGAGCTGCTGCGTGACACCCTGACGCGCCCCGAAGATGGCAGGCACGTGAAACGCGCGTGGCGCGCGGGGCGTCGCAGGGAGGACAACGGGTGATTGTTTGGAAGATTGAAGTCTGAGAAAAGACGTGCTTGTTTCGAAAAAAGGGATCACCACTGTCACTATGAATATCTATGACTCTATGAATGATCTATGTTTGCTTCGATCTGCTCGCTTCGATCGATGTGTCCATCGAGGTTCGCTGTGGACATCGTCCGTTGTGAGCCGCAACCAGCGCTGGCGGCACCGCCTGCCGCTCCGACGAACGTGCGGCTGTTCCCACGCTGCGCGCTGACAGGTGGGGCACCAGGAGACCTGGACCATGGGAAGACCGCCACGTGGTCGAAGTCGCTACGTGGTTGGACTGGTTGGAACATGGTGAACTGGTGAATTAAGAAGGATTGTGTTTACTTGCTGACTCGAAGTCGCTTTACTTATTTATCTTGTTTTCAAAGGCTCAGACTAAGATACAACTCAAACAAACTACTACAATCAAATGTTGAAGTCGTGGCAAGTTTCTATGTTTGAAGTATTTCCATTGGGATTTGAATGCCGGGACCCCCCCTCCTGGCGTTTCCATTGGGGAACACAAGTTTTTTTTTTCTACTATGCCGTGACTTCCGCGGCTGAGTGTAACTGCTCAGTGAGTAGTATATGGATAGGCACGAGTGTACACTGGGTGACTTCACCGTGAGTGGTCAACTCAACTCGCCTACTGTAGAACCTCCGGTTCTTCCTGGTCCTGGTTGAGGGTCCATTTGGAGCAGAAGAGTTTGCAAACGTGTTTTGATATGATTCTTTGCTTCCACTGGATGTTTGAGAACAGGAACAAATTGACGGGTGTATCTCAACATGGAAAGACCCATGCTTCACTCTCTAAAACAAATACATATAGATGATCTCCTGTGGATTTTCTCTCATTGTGCTGCAAACCACAAACCACACCCATTGAATGCCGCGCAGTTGACAGGTCCGCTAAATGAGCTAGGGTGAGGTGGAGAACAACATTTGGTTGCTTCAACAAAGGGGCAGAGGGTGAAGAATCCTTTCACAACAAAGAAACAAACACTATTCAGACACTCCATGGGACTGCAATATATGCCTGTATTGACCCTCCGGCATCTATGGCATCTATGGCAGTCCTATGGAGTGGTATCTGGGAATGATCTCACCCTTCCTTCACCATTTTCGCCCTGCACCCACACTCTTCGTTGGATTTTTCGGGAAGAACACAACAGGCGAAGCCTTGGGCGAAGTGCAGCTCTGGCCACTGGACACGCTGAGCGCCTTGCGCGAGGCCGTGCGACGGCGCCTTCCCGAGGAGGACGAGAGACAGCGGGGCGTGGCCACCAGTCCCAGACACGACGATCCATGGGACTGCCATAGATGCCGATCAGGCCAGGGGTGGTGCCAGGGGAGTCAACTGATCGGCATATATGGCAGTCCCATTAGTCGTGTTTGGGATTGGTTTGGGTCATTCGTTGGTGGCTAACTAGTGTGTTTATGTGTGTTTGATTGTTGCGGGAAGTTTTCGCGAGATGCCACCGATAGGGTTTTTTCCTCTTTTTGCCAAGATATACTTGCATTCAAGAAGGTGTGAGATTTGTTGGGAGGATGCTGTTTCGGGATGTTTCGGGCAAGGTGACCAGAAGATATCTCCAGTTAAAGCTAAATGATGCTCTAATTGCAATGCATTGCATGCTGTTTGGCACGGCTGGGGTGCCAAAAAAATTATTTGTGTGTACGAGATGCGGACATATTCGTTTACTTTCTGTCTTGGAGGGGATACTGATTTGCACACGTGTCCAAGGAAGTTGTCAACATCAACAGAAATAGTTCGATTAGGTCGATTGTCGCTTCCAGGATGAAGGCCCTGTACAGCTCTTGCTGGGTGATCCTCGGCTGAAGGAAGAACAGATCCAGCATGATCCAGCATCTCTCAGAAGCCAGGACGTATAACAATATACGCATACCGAATTGCAACATAGATTTGGCTTCCTTTGCCTTAGAGTCAAACGATCCATCGAAAAGGCCCAAAACCCGCGCCGGCCTTAGAGATCAGAGTCCTTCGCCTAAGGAGCATTGCCTGGCCGGGCCCATCTCGCTGGCCAGCGCTGGCTTGAGGTCGGAGTGATGGAACCGAGCCTTTCGGTCGGATCAACTCGGTGTTTAAAGTTATAGGTCTGTCGGATCACCGGTTAGATCAATAACTTATCTAACCGGTGCTTATATGGCTCAGGCAAGTTGCCAGATGTTTGTTGGGTACCTATACTGCAGCGTCCAGGTCGAAGACGATGTTTTTCAGTAGCTCTTTTGGCATCAGTGCAATAGTACCCATTGGGTCTGTCCCATTACCTGTAACAGTCGGTAAAAGGTCTTATCACTTATTTTAGATAAGGCCTTTACTAAGCATCCTCATGGTAATGGCATGGACCCGAAGTGTGCTATACACGTCGCGTGCAACATTGGTCAGACAGACTGCACAAACCTCTAGTCTACTTGTGCATGCCAACAATGGAGCTGTCGACATGTGCACATGCAGCTATAGGGCTCTATTTTACGGCTTGCTCACACTGCTCGAACTCCCCTGAAATCCATATAGGTGTCCAAATTCTTGAAGTTCTTTTCTCCTGGTCACTTCACTTCATCGTTCTTTTTTTCCCCCCAATGTTTCAGCACAAGAGGACCATGTACTATTCTCCATACATGCGTTTTCAACATGGCCATTCAACTCTACTTTGTGATGTCCCCAAACTGCAGGCTCGGCGGTTTCTGTTCGACCTCCCTGCCTCCCACCCTCGCAGGGATGGCATGGTCTTGGAGGTCTTGCGCTGCGAAGCTCGCGCGCTCTTCACCGCCTCCGCCGACCACACGGTACGGCTCTGGGATGCGGCGCCTCCGAGAAAGGGAGGCGAAGGGAGGGCCGTGCGGCGCCGGTGGGGCGGTGCAGGGGCCATGCTGGGCCTTTTGTTCTTGAGTTCGGCGCGGGAAAAGCTTGGCAAGGAAGATAAGGAAGGTGGTTTCGCTACTCAAGAGTCTTTAATACTTTTGATTATAGAATATTAATGAGCACTGCAATTAGGATAGTTGATGACTATTGTCGTGAGTAATTTCAGTGGGTGGTTCTTGGATGGGGTGTAATTAGCTGATACCCCGGCCCCAGCAGATTCATGAGTTACCTGCTAGAAGCTTGCAAGTGATTGTGAGCGCTGAGGGCGGATCCCAGCATGACTCTAAATGTCCTGCAGGCCAACAACCAATCCTGACATGACGACTGAGGTATATTGAGTTCTATATAATAACATGATTATAAAGATTAACCACGTATTTTGGTTTGGTTCAGGTAGATAGGTCAGAGCATGCAGCCAGTATGAACAAGCCTTTATCGAGCACCAAGCGCTTTACAGTCGTATTTGGGGCATTGACTTGGGAGTGGGTGGGAGTGGGTGGTGATAGAAAGGGCGTGAAACAATCCATCGTATGGTTAGTCCATTGGATTTCAAAGGGTCCATCAAGAATACCCTACTAGGAGTCGATGTGCTGGTGCTCCGCAAAAAAGCATCGCGACGAGAACGTCGACATGTTCCTCACTTGAGCAGAGGTGAGTACTATATACGATCAACAGGGCTCAAGGGTCGACCTGACAAGTTTAGGATTGCCTTGCCGGCCCCAGTGGTCCTGTGGATCACGCCATGATGCCTTCTTGAATTTTTGTTGCACATAGGCTGAAGAGAGCAGGTCCTTTTTCTGGATGCTGCCTTTCGTGCAGAGAGGAACGATGTGGACGTAGTGACTTCTGCCTTCCAGATATCCATCGGAGCGGCTGCCCTGTGTTTGTTTGAGGGTGTTTCCATTCTTGTGGCCTTCGTGCCCGGGTTCTTCTTGGCAATGAGGTGGTCCGTTCACAGTGGTGCGGCCCCTATTGTAGTGCTTTTAGCAGCGCGTGGCTGATTAGACCTTCCGAAGCGAATATTGCTGGAAAGCAGGTGGAGCTGTGAAGCAGTGCAGCTCTTGAGCATATGGAGTAGCGATGGGATACTTCAGGCGGAAAGCTAGCTTGCTCTGGCTATTGGGCTTTGATGGCGTGAAGATGGCTTCCACGACGGCCCTGGAAGAACACTTCTGCTTAGAAAGATGTGGAAGAGCAAACCAAAAAAGGAGCCTGAAGTGCATTTCACGCTTCATACGGCATTGAGATACTTGGAGAGCAGTTCTGGAAGAAGACTGTCTTACAGGTTTCTCAGTCGAGTTCTTCAGCAGGAGCCTGGCCAGTGACTATATACATTGCTGCTTGGACTTCTGGTGCCTCGAAATCCTCGCTGTTTTGGCGTTGACCTGCCATAGCGGTAGGCGCTTTGCGGCCCGCAGCTGCGAAGAACTGGCGTGGCTGCTTCTGGACCTTTTGTAGTTTTAATTTGACATGACTTGAAACAAGGAATCGCGCCTTTCTGGTGGCTAGGTGACGCACATGTTTTGCACTAATAGCCTTGTTCAGCCCAGTTTGGCTTTATACCAGAGAAGGATTGGGCTATAACTAGTTGCATGTACAAGAAATAATTCATTGCACAGCGGCCACAGACAAACGTCATAGGCAAGCGCAAGGAGATACGATCAACAACAAAGCGCTAAACTAGAACAGTTCAGAAATCGATCGATATATCTGGGTTTGGAGTGCCAATATGCTCGAAATCCACCATCTGGTCAGATTCATCTTAGGAGCTGGGGACCCACCTTGGCACGCTGCCACAAGGCCAGGCCCGATTCTGGCTTGGATGGCTTTTCTCGGGCAGTCGGCAGAGGGAAACCTGAGGTCTTTTCCAGCCGAAAATGAGCAGAATAGATTGCAAGGTAGATCAACCCACCAGAAATTAGGCCTTTGGGTCTTGACCCACAGCCACCCTGCCATGGGTCATTGACAAAGCGGGTTGTCTCAATATTTGACCTTCTTCCGATGGGCTTTTTGCGCCATCGACGAAACACATCATCAAACTTCTCCCATCATAGCCTATGTAATCAAGTAGGGGAAGTTCAAGAAAACTGTGCAAAACCCATAGGATATCTTCTCAATTCAGCAGAACGCATTGACCCCCATCCACAGACGCGTATGGATGCAACCATCATCGACCATATATCCAATCATATCAAATCCATTCCATGTTTGGTGAACAACATTATACAAAAAACTCTCGCCTTATTAACCTACTTCTGAACTTCCAAGTGTCTTTCCATGTTCACCTTTCGATGGCCTATCTTCAACAAAAAACTCAAATCGTAACACCCGCACCGCTTCGTTACACCATGGTGTTCTTCGGCGTGAGCGGGCGACCGGTTTGGAGGTGAGTGGGCGACCTCCTTGGAGTTCCATGCACCACGGCGGCATTAGACGGACGGTCTCCCGGCACCCACCGATGTGTGATACGAGCAGGTGTAGTAGGGAGTACAGGTGTGGAAGACAGATCTTCACTACTCTACTTGTCAAGTACGCACCCATTCTCGGCTGTATCAACTTTGGCGCGCTAGAACACGGTCTATCCACGGTGATGCCATTTATCCGTAAGTATGAACAAAACGAAGAAGCGAAGCAATGATGTAGAACCAAAACGCAATGATGCAGATCTATCAAACCCAAACCCTTTTACATTGACCCCTGAAACCACGTCAATGTAGGTATACATGGCAGTCCCATGGAGTGTTTGAGAAACATTGCACCCTTCCGCACCATGTGGCGAAGCTGTCCGCCGGAACCGGCAGGTGGACACGTCACGCCTGGCGGTGGGACTCTTCGACTGCAGCGTGAAGATTTGGAGCTACGACGGCGGCTTCTCTTGAGCTACGGCGGCAGCAGTGGAAATGGGTGGGCTGAATGTTTCTCATTATTTTTTTTGGGGAAAATGGGTGGAAATGGGTTGAATTGGAAGACTCCTCTGAGGTGCCGTTTCCGCCCTTTGGACCAGGACCAAGACCAAGAGAGTCAGGGCGGTTGTTTGCCAACGTTCTTCACGGGATCTTTTCTTCGTCCTGCGCTTCAGGACGGACTCTAAGGAAATGATGGTTTAAGGAACTCTGTGATAACGATCCCTTTTGCAGGTTGCCCTTTAAAAGGCTATGAGAGTGACTATGAGAGTGGTGAGACGGTTGTATCATCCAGAAACCTCTGACTTGGCAGCCGGTGATGAGTGGTGTTTGATGAGCTGAACCTCTTTGGCAGTGGTACCTGGTACACTGCCTGAACTCATGCTGGTTACGTGGATTTCATCGGGGTGTAGAAATGGATTTCCCAATAGCCTCCAACCTAGTAGCAATGGTCTCCAACCCAATAGCAATGGCCTCCAACAGCCTCCAACCTAATAGCAATGGCCTCCATCCTAACACCCCGCGGTGAAAAGCCCATGGATTTTTCTTCACTCCAAACGACCAACGCCGAGGCGAGAGGACGCTGAATGGCCACCGGGGCCCTGTGATGTCTGTGGCCTTCAGTGGAGACGGGCAACGCTTGGCCAGCGGCTCCTTTGACCACACGGCCAAGCTTTGGAGTCTTGAGGAGAGCGATGGGAAGGGATCCGGGACCAGCGAGCCGAGGAAGGCACTCTTCTCGCAAAGTTGGCATAATCAGAAGGAATCACCAATCAGTTTGTGACAAGCTTCATTGTGGACATTCTGGGAAAGGGGCGAGATTTAAGTTACCCTAGACAATCCCTTCAATCTATGAACAACACGAGGCTCCTTATAAAAATGGAGGGGATTTGTATTTATAGATAGAGATTCAAAGCCAGAACTAGAGAGAAGGTTTCAGTCTCCAAATAATACAATTCTTCGAATCTTTATGAATATTGAGGATGCGTTGATCAATCTTGTAGTAGTTTTCGAACAGGAGGACTTCTTGTTGCAGGAAACTCAAAGAAAGAACGAACAAACCAAAGTCACAGTGGGGTCTAGCTTTGTCTTCTGCACCACCGATATGGAACAAATCAAACACTGCACGGTGAGTTCCCCCGAAAAAAGACGAAACTATAACAATCAATCCATGGCAAAAAATATCGGTTCTTCTCCGGCTTCTTTGCGTGATCATCCAATCTTGACTCTTTCTGGTTGACTGAATCCTTTCCCTCTTGGAGGCCATCGCTAGTAGGTGGAGGCCATCGGCCATTGCTACTAGGGTGGAGGCCATCGCTACTAGATTAGGAAACTCAATATGATGCAAAAATAAGGCCTTCAAGGGGTGGTGAATGGACACCCCGAATCACAGCTAAGGGGCTATAAATAGACGCCCCGACAGGAGTGTCCTGGTATGACTCACTCCTTCCAGGTCGACCCGATCGTCGCCAGGATGGCCGTTGCCTGCGCCGCTTCGACGGCCACAGCGACGGCCTCACTGGGGTGACCTTCGGCGACGAAGGTGCGACGGTTTTCAATCGACGTCGAAAGCGGCTCGGGGGGTGGTGCAGGACTCATATACAAGCTATGACACACAATTTTCATAGTATAAACTATGCCTACTTATTTGACCTACTATTTGTTGAAGCAGTATACATGTAGTCATGTCGCTTGTAATTATTGTATCCTTGTTGATCTTGAGATAGTTAAGGGTGAGGGTGTTCTCCAACAAGAATCTTGATAGACATGATTGGTCTGATTGGTTGAGCTGTTAAGCCTGAAAAAGAAGCATCAGAAATGAGCGGAAGCATGAAACAGATGACAGAAATTACTGATGAATTGTATGTTTTTGCATGTTTTTGTTTTCCTTTTTGGTGCCAGGGCCCGAAACGCCAAGACTCACCGTCCGTGACCGCAGGCCTCCTGAGCGCCTCCGTGGACAGCAGCTGCAAGCTCTGGCGCTTCGACGCCCAGTCCGCCGCGTGGAGCGCCGAGCACCCAGATGAGGTGAACTCCGTGAAGTTTACGAAGAAGGACCCCCTTGGTTTGGACGGATCGTTGTTTACTTTTTTGGGGGGGGGGAGGGGGAGCGGGGAGCCTAGCGGGGAGCCGGAGCGGGGTATATGGGTTTTGGTGGGAGAAACGACCCAGGTTTGCACGGGAGGGCTGTGTTTTACCTGTAATACAATATAGTCAGTCATATAGTTAAGTTATATACCTAGTCAACCTAAACCAACCCAATTGAAGTATGCAAAACATTGCAAAACAACATATTTCAGCAGAAACCACACGTATTTTTTCGTCGAACAATTGTTTCTTGTATAACAATTACCTTTTTGGATTTGTGGTACCTTCTGCATACTTATCGCTGTCTGTTTGAGAAATCATGGGATCATCCTGCCTGCGATCTCCAATCTGGAGTGCGGACAAATGAACAGGGTGCCATGGGAGTGAGAGCGCACTTACTTTCTGTGCACAGGGGATGTCGCAATCACCAGAGGACACGTGGATGATATATTTGGCTCACTAAATTGCCCCTGTGTGCATATTGCAACTTTCTCCTTTTGCATAGATTGCTTTGGAGATCCGTATCGGCGTCGAAGCCATTTCAACATGATCGAACATATCTATATAGCTTCTAGTCATGGGTAGAGTGTCCAAGACTCCAAGATGCTGAAAAGCTGCTCTGTGCCTCAAAAAACTTCGAAGCGCAGGCGCTGGAAACCGACTGGACAGAGGCCAGTCTAACTGTTTGAGAGCACGCTGTGTTTGAGATGCGTCAAATTAGCCCACTGCCTGTGTCATGGAAAGCCTTGATTCCATCTAAATTGGAGAAGTTGCGGTGCCCGTTTAATAATAGCTGAAAACATTTGCGGGAAAGCAGAATCTTAGCTCGATCTGGAATCGCTGAGATTTCTTGTTTCAGTGGACATCAACTTCCATGAAGGAGTGATTGAAAAAAAACAGTTGCAGAATTTACCGTCCAAGTGACGGAAAACTCATGAAAATCATGGAAAGTGCCGTTGATCTAGATGATCCATGTGCAGGCCTGCTTCCCGTGGACGTCGACGTCGATGATGCCAAGTTCAAGAGCACCGCTGCGGCGCTGAGTGTACGAAAGCCGCATTACGAGATTGCCAGAAGAAGCGGCCGCGCATTGGAGCAGAGCTGCCGCGCCCTTCGAAGGCCTCGAAGCTGGTGTGCTCCAGCGGCTGCCGCTTGATGACAGGAAGCGATGTGCTGAAGGTCCTTGGATATCAGCCTGGCTTTTGTCAATTCGAGCCTCTTGACGGATGGAGCGCAGCTCATAATGGCTGGCAGAACAATGAAGAAAGGCAATGCAAAGGTGTGCATGACTGTGGCCTTAGCGCTGCGGAAACTTGCAGCTAAATGATCCGGTGAACAATGGCCTTCAGATGGCAGCCTTCACTGCAGGTTGGGACCTTTGATGTCCGCCCTTGCAGATTTTAAATATCTTTGCAGTAGCCGTCAGGTTGAAAAGGGCTCGATGCAGTGCGGTCATGATTTTGGAGAGTCTATCCATGTGCATTTGTTGGGGCTGCGAGGTCCGCCCTTCGTCCCCCCCCCTTGACTTCCTTTCCCTAAGCCGGCGGACTGCCAGCAATTGATTCCACCCATCATGCTTTGCCAGCCTCGTTGCCATGTTGGTGCGAGGCAAGATGATCCACCTGGCGACTGCTCCTCGTGCACCGTAGGCATTCAATGTTCATTGCACGCAGAGCATCGTTTGACATTGAGAATATGAACAGACCATTGAATCGAGTTGGAATGAGCGGGGCGGGATTGGTGACATTTCTGGGCCACCCTTCATTCCCACAAACAACAGGCTGCAGAGCTCTGTGCTCACCCTGCCTCGACCAGGAGGGCGGCTGATCGGCTGGCAGATGGGCGCGGGGCTGTGCTGCGTTGGCGCTGGGCAGCTGCATTGCGCTTAAATGAAGGGCGTTGTGTGGGTGGATTAACATCCATGTATGTATGTGATTGCATGTGACTTATGGCGGGCTGGGGCTATCCAGCCCAGCCCTGCAACAAAACAGATCAACTTCAAATCACTGGAGCCAACCAGCCCATGAGATGACCAAAGCACTGTGGCTATCCAGCCCTGCAAGATCAACTTCCAATCACTGGGGCTATGGAATGACCAAAGCACTGGGGCTATCCAGCCCTGCAAGATCACAAAGCAGTAGGACTATCCAGCCCTGATTGCATGCTTTTCACAACTTCAAGCTTTCCAGCGAGTCAGCTTCATCCTCTTTGAGGTTGAGCTGGCCACTCAAAAGCAAATGGAAGCAGAGGGGAAATTTCTGCAGCACCTTTGCAGGCAGCGCGCGCTTTGAATGACGCAATTCCATTCGGACAGCGTAACTCACATGATCAATAGTTTTATCTTTTCTCTTTCGGGAAGGCTACAGGGGCAAGCACACACGATGTCAACAATGCAGTCTTACTCAGGCAGCAGAACCGACATCGCCAATGATTTGCTCATGTTCCGTCGGTCTTTAGAAACATCAAAAACACTAGAGCAAAAACAACCCTCAAACTAAAACTTGATGAACTATCTAGCAATTCTAGCGGCGTGAGACAACGCCTTGGACTTTCTTGATTGAGACAGCTTTAGCGGGAAAAGTACGACTACATGTTTTTGCATAGTTGGGTTTTCTAGGTAGTAGATGTACAATAATGCTGTACTGCCGTTTTTTGGTGGGAATTGCGGTCGGGGTCACCGGCTTTAAGGGTTCCTGCACAAGATCCTGCTGACTGCACGCAAGTAGCGGCAAAGATATCATCTAACTGATAGCGATGTGTTTCAGGGTGCAGGCACAAAGTCTTCAATGAACAATCACTTGTTTATTGTTTATAGATGACATGTTTTGTCATGTCTAGTATACGAGTTGTTTGTGATGCCTTCGTTTTTCGGAATTCAACCCATGGGATGTGTGAACTCAAAACGCTCCCTCCACCGGGCCCTCGGCCAGTGCAGGAGTGCCGAGTCGTGACGTCCTGTGGGGATCACCATGTCCGACTGTGGGATGGAAAGACCGGAACTTTGCTGCAACTGCTCAGCCGCTTGGAGACCCAACTTGGTGGCCTTGGTGGGCCAACGGTCTGCGCAAATGCAGCGGACTTACTTCATTGGCTTTGGCTCTCACTTCCACAAGGGCCACCGTGTTAGCAGGTGCTCGATGACGGTTCACCATTACTGACCGATTTCCTGCAAGCAGAAGGTTTCCAAGTTGTTACCTAGTTTTCATATTGCACAATTTTGCCCACTCTACAACCATTTTCCTTTACACACGCTCACAGATTGACGATCAAACGGACTAAATTAATTGAAGATTGACCCGATTCTTTTTGAACCAGACTAGGTATATTACCGGTATATGACCATGTAGGGCATCTTACATTAAAAAACCATTTTAGACAAACAGTATCAAACAATGCATTCAAACAAAGTAAAAAATATATTCAAACAGGTTACTGGTATGATTTAGAAACAGGTAGGATGACATATTGGTATAAGACCAGGTTTGAGATCTCTTCAAACACCTTCAAACAAATTATTGTCGCACCTAAAAGTTTCAGGCGCAGTGTACCTTTTGGGTCTCCTTCTGCGTCACCTGTGCCAAGGTCTTAGAGAACCAAGGTCTTCTTGTGGGAGCGATGTGAAACCATACGCCAGTCGTACCCTTCCACAGGTCTTCAGTTGAGAGGATGGTCCTGTGCCCTTGGTGAGGTTTCAATTGGTGACCTTACCTCGGAAGGTCCTGACACACGCACTCTGCAGCATCTAAAATCATGTTTGGGTACGTTTGTGTATCTCGATCATTGGTGGGCTCTCGTGTTTTTTTTTCGCAAAAGTCAATCCATGGACTGTTTCCTTCCACCCTCGGTGCCGACGGAAGATCACGCCACATTGACCGGTCCCTTAGTTGGAACTGTTCATGGTTCAATTTTCCAGTGGTAGGGTATTATATAGTGTATTATATAAATATAGGACTCTCCAATTTGTTGTTTTGGAGATAGTCTTTGGACATGTTTGAGTTTGGGCATCTTACCCACTAGAAGACGCGTTTCGCCAGGTCACCAGCTGCTCGGTCTTCTCCTTCAACAAAACATTATCCATATGGAGAAGAACTGAAGAACACCAGGCAACTTCCGGTGAAATTCCAAGGTTTGTAGGTCACTCCATGGCCATTTCAGGTGGTTTCCCCTCCACTGTCTCTGCGGCGGTCTTCTCTCCCAACGGCTGCCTGGTATGCGCTACCGGAGCTGATGGGCAGGCAGATGGGAAAAGAAAGAGAGGGCACACCCATACTTGTAGCCATAGATGAAGTAGGAGTAGCATGTTTAGGTGGTGGTAGTTGTTGTAGAAGTAGGAGGAGCTGTGTACATTGTACATGACACCCAGGCAAGATAGACAAGCCCTGGTGGCCCCTTGTGGTTGCTGTTTTGTGGTTGCCGGTCAAGACTTTGTTGTCACAAAATTTTTTCCCCGTGGAGGATGGAATCCTTGTGTGACGCAATGATACTTCTTTGAGACTACGCAACAAACAAGGGACAGGGAACTGCCTTCCATCGAGCAGTGCGTTTGGTAGTTCCTTGGGTCAGCTTCTTTGGATGGATGTTTGGTTCTGCCGCAGAAGCTGAAGCAACTTTCAACGCTGTTCTTGTTTCAACCAGCTCCATGTGCTGCGAACGTAGCGTCGTTGACTAAAATTGGGAGCCGCAGCTGCAGCTGCTCCGGGTCGGCCGCCTATCGTAATGGAGTGGTGTTTGGCCGATCTATGGTGTTTTTACATCTGCAGCAGTATCTAGCAGTATAGACATGGGGCTTCTTGTAGTGAGTGACAAGACTTAGTCTAGTCTTACTTAGACCAATTCATCCTGCCTTTTTTTGGGACCAAACATATATTATTATTCAAAGTCTTCAAAGTGCAAATTGAAGCCTGAGATCGTTTGGGGTTCGATAAAGACCCGTCACTGTTGTTCAGTTCTTGTTCCTTTCTTGCAGGTTGTCCAGTAGAGGCGGCTTTTCTTTTCAGCTTAGACCGGGGTTTAGCGGGTTTGAGCGGTTCAACCGCGGTGCAGGCACGGCTTTGGGACCTCACTGGAGAGCTTTTGTGGACCACACCACGGCAGCATCAAGATGTGAGCACCTCTGTGGCCTTCTCGGCAGACGGCCAGTGAGGGGCACCAAGCGAGGACCAGGGACACCGGACAGCGGTGGATAGCTATCCCCTTTGGTTTGGTGGATCATGGTGGATCCCCCGCAGGCCAAGGTTTTGGTTGGATTTTTGTTGGAGATGATTGAGATGATTCCCACTAAACAAGAAACAGGTGCTGTGGAAAAAGTGATATAACCTCTTCATTTGCCAGGGAAACTGAAGGAGTCAAGCACTGTGTGGATTTGGTGGGTGTGGGGACCTGTGGGAGTGCAACATGCAGCGCTGGTTTGGGAAAAGCTAGTCGGCAGTCGCTTGCTTTATAATTAATGACATCCCAGTGAACGTTCTGGAGAGACTAAGACCTTTCGTTCCGTGCACCCCGACACGCACGGTCCATGGCCTTGGACCCCACCGGTGGACCCCGCCGGTCGCACGGGCGCCTTCGCGGCCATCGCCGCCATTGCCAGGTGTGTGGCCACCACCAGCAGTGATGGCACGGCGCGACTGTGGAACATCGAGTCACAGCGCTGCGAGTTGGTCTTGACAGGCGGAGAGCGCAGAGCTGCGCGCAGAGCACGGCGAGCCCGAAAAACGGAGGGTGGGTCACACGTGGCTGGAACTAGATCTGCCGGAACCGGCCAAAACCGTGTGGCGTTCTCACGGGTTTCTCGATATGATCGTTTCTCACTCCTGTCGTCTCCAGGCCGCGATTGGTTAGTTTGAGTGGAGAATCTGTTTGTCGTCTCCACGCCAGGCCATCAAGACGCCGTGATGGCCGCCTGCTTCGTGTGTCGCAGCGACCTCGAGGTTAGGAAAAGGTCCGGTCGTCTCCCGGACCGTTGTGCCGTTGTGCCGGGGGTGTGAACAACGGTTGGATTTTTTTGGGCGGGATTGTGACTGTGTAAAAGTAAGAGAGTAAGAAAAACGTAGAAGAGGCCGAGCATAACATAGCTGGCTGCCCATTGGATGTCGTTGGTGCAACCGTAGAAGAGTAGGGACTGAGTAGCTGTGTTTTTCGCGGGAAGATGCTTCTTCAAATCGATGAGCGGAGGTTAGTCTTGTCTCCTCGTTGAGAAGGTCCACAGATATTCAAGCTTCTATCAGCTTCTAGCAGATGCTAGCACATTTAACTTCAGCTGATTCATTGGTGAGTTGTTGCGAAGTTTGATGCAAGAGCAAGGGATACAGCATCTGTGTCTGCCCGGCTGCCCATGCCACGATCCTTAATCAGTGAATTCTTACCGCTGCTGGCTCGGCTCAAGTGGTCACAAAGCCTCGACGCCATGATCGGTCTTTTGGACTGTTGTTTTTTGGGCCGGAAGAAGTCTTAGACGGTAAGCCCCACAATTCCTGGCCCGAACAACCAGGGTTTTACTAAGGATTTTACACTACAAACCCAGGTGAACGATTTTCTTGAATGGTCTTGGAAGGATCTGGTAAGGAAGGACCAAGGACCTTGCGTAAGAGCATTCAAATATATTCAAACACAGGTATATGTGCATCCAGGTGGTTGATGTCTCACATGAGTGTTTGCTTTTGCCCCATTCACTGGGGGTATGTGAGTATCGCAATAGTATCATTATAGTTTCCTAAGCCAACTCACCAAGCCGTTCTTTTTTGTGATTGAGCACGGATTGAGACCTTTATAACCGAAGTTGCGTTGGGGTGAATAGAGAAAGAATCGAAGCACGTGCTCGGTCTGGGGGTCACCATGTTTGAAAGAATTTGGACACTTGTCCTTGTCTTGGGACAAAACCAAGCCTGCCACGTTGGGGCACATCTTGTGATTTCATGAGAATCTCAGTGAGGGAGGCACCTTTTGAAGGATACCGTAAAAGGAATTAAGAGGAACATCAAAGTTATAGCCCAGTCAAATTGGATGTCGAAACCACTTTGAAGACAACCGCTGGTCTAGAGCTGGCCCAACTCAGGAATCATTGGAGATTCCAACACTGGCAAGTCCACCTTGCTAAATACCTTGCTGGGCCAACGACTACTTCCGACCAGCTGCTGGACATGCGAGCTGACGAGAGAGAGAGAGAGAGAGATGTGCTTGAACCGAGCGGAAAGCGGTGCTTTTGGGTGGCACAATGCAGCAGGTGCTACCCTTCAAAGCAGCTGATACAGTAGTGCTGCTGTTTGGTGCCATATGGCCATCCATGGCCATCGTTCTGGCATGTTCTGGCCATCGTTTTTAGGACCTGTTTTTTTTTGTTCTGGACTTACTTTCAGTCCTTCAGTTTTGAGGTTGGCAAAACGGAGCCACGCAGGGTCCAGTCCAGGTTTTGGGATCTTTCCAGGAGCCACGAATTCTGGTTGATCTCTGTTTAATCCTTCTGGAACTTTCCATGGATATTAAAACAATAAGCTACTAGGAACAAGTGCATCGCTTCTAGTAACAAGTGCCTTACTAGTAGTAACAAGAAGCGAACGTAGAAACAATAAGTAAATAGACCGCTCAAGGATTGAACCAAAAACCATGGAGAAACCGCGAACGTGAGACGAAACCAACCAAACATGCCTCGCTCACGTCGTCTCCGGACTCATCGCTCCTGTCCTGTGATGTCGTCAAGACCAGGTTCACGGCTCGCCCTGTCCGCCGCCCGTGCAAGGGTGGCGCATGTTTTTTGACCCTTCTGCATGAGATTTGGTAACCCTCGTAGCGTTTTGAAGGTTTTCCATGGATTTGCAGACCCTTATTCTGATTGACACTTACAGTAATCCGGTCCTGATTTTTTGTACCTCGCCACAGCGAGAATCAAGTTTTTTCGTGCGTTTACGCCACCCGTACTTCTTCGGAGCTGACATCCGCGCAAGTGTCAACCAATGCTGCCGTGATTGATGGTGGAATTGAACCCTTGTGATAACGTAACCAAATGTGATCCCAACCATCTTTCAACAAGTCGGAAAACTCTTCTAAACACTCGAAGTCCAAAAACCGATGTGAATCTAGTGCTATGTGCAAACACAAAGCGACCCAAAAGTCAGTGCCTAGATCCAACAAGTCGTCCAAGTAGCGGGGGACACAAACAAACCAGATAAAGGACCGGGCCAAGAAAAAATAAAGTCAAATCCTGACAAACGAATTAACAAAACGTGGACATAAACATAAGCATCGTTTGTACAAGTCAACCAAAACCTCAACATCGTTTGTACATGTCAACCAAAACATCA